AGTCGGGGAGCTCAGCCTCGTCGCCAAACTCGGTACGCCAGGCGTCACTCAGACGGGCGAAGCAGCGGGACTGGGTGTGACTAAGCGTCCCACAAGTCTGACCCGTCCGATCTCCTGTGCGAATGACGTACGGGCAGCGAACGGTACTCAAAGACCCTCTACTCTGAGCGTACCACTCGTGAAGCTGCTGGGACGTAAGTGCCTTGCGTGGACGCGGCTGCAGCTGCAGCCGGCCACCGCCAGACGTTCCCAACTGACCAGCTCTAGGGCGACAGCTACGACGACTACCGCCACAACCCCAACTAGCGTACCACTCACGAAGCTGCTGGGGCGTGAGAGACTCGCGCGGACGTCGCTGGAGCTGCATCTGGCCACCGCCAGTACCAGTAGCAGTAGCCTAGCAGAGCAGGCGCGGCAGGCAGACAGGCAGGCAGGCAGGTGCGGCAGGCAGACAGGCAGGCAGGCAGGTAGGTAGGCAGACATGTAGACAGGCAGGCAGGCAGGCAGGCAGGCTGGCAGGCAGGCAGGCAGATAGGCAGACAGGCAGGCAGGCAGGCAGGCAGGCTGGCAGGCTGGCAGGCAGGCAGGCAGGCAGATGGCGCGGCAGCGCGCTAACAAGGCAGGTGCTCACCAGTGTCGGGTAGAGCAGGCGCTCGCCGGGCGAGCAGGGCCGGCGCTCGGCGGGCGGCTGCACGGGGTCCAGGGGCGGCGTCGCGGGATCCAGGGGCGGCTGCACCAGGGGCGGCTGCACCAGGGGCGGCTGCTTCAGGGGCCAGGGGCGGCTGCTCTGCGTCCAGGGGCGGCTGCTCGAGTGTCCAGGGGCGGCTGCACCAGGGGCGGCTACTTCAGGGGCCAGGGGCGGCTGCTCGGGGTCCAGGGGCGGCTGCTCGAGGGGCGGCTGCTGCAGGGGCCAGGGGCGGCTGCTCTGGGTCCAGGGGCGGCTGCTCGAGGGTCCAGGGGCGGCTGCACCAGGGGCGGCTGCTTCAGGGGCCAGGGGCGGCTGCTCTGGGTCCAGGGGCGGCTGCTCCAGGGGCGGCTGCTGCAGGGGCCAGGGGCGGCTGCTCTGGGTCCAGGGGCGGCTGCTCCAGGGGCGGCTGCTGCAAGGGCCAGGGGCGGCTGCTCTGGGTACAGGGGCGGCTGCTCGAGGGTCCAGGGGCGGCTGCTCAAGGGGCGGCTGCTGCAGGGGCCAGGGGCGGCTGCTCTGGGTCCAGGGGCGGCTGCTCCAGGGGCGGCTGCTGCAGGGGCCAGGGGCGGCTGCTCTGGGTCCAGGGGGAGGGGGGGGGGGGGGCAGGGGCGGCTGCTCCAGGGGCCAGAGGCGGCTGCTGCAGGGGCGGCTGCAGCAAGTAGCAGCAGCGGCAGCAAGTAGAAGCAGCAACACAGGCGCAGTGCAGCGTGTAGGCCTGGCGTGGGCCATACTGGCCGCGTGCGGGCCTGACGTGGCCTGTACGGGCTGCGCGAATGCCTAGCGCGGACTGTACGGGCCGCTCTCGGGTCTGACTCGGCCTGTACGGGCTGCGCTAACGCCTAGCGCTGACTGTACGGGCCGCGCGCGGGCCTAACGTAGGCTATACGGACCGCGCGCGGGCGTGGCGCGGGCTGTACGGGCGGCGCGAAGGCCAGACGGGGGCTGTACGGGCTGCTCGCTGGCTACGCGCGACAGGACAGGGCAGGGCCGCGGGGCAGCGAAAATCGATGCACCTAAGGGCGCATTTCGGGCAGAAAAAAGCAGAGAACGAGATTCGGGCAGGAACACGGAAGGTTTAACGGTGGGCCCTAAAAAAAAATCGTCCTAGGCTAGGAACGTCCTAGCTCTTAATACCATGTTTGAATCTTACGGGAAAGTGGTGTGTCGACTATCGAAAGGGAAAGATACAAAGGAGAAACCTAAGGGGTCGTACCCCACAGTGAGTACCCCACTAAGCCTAACCAAACTATAACAAATATACACATATGTTTGACACGGTCCATCAAGGTAATCCCCATGTTTTTGTCAGCTTGTTTGATGATAAGGTTGGTGTTAGAAGCAAGTTCGTTGATGGCTTTGTAATACCCCTTGGGAAGGTACGGCCCTTTGCGGATAGGTGTTTGAGAGAGCAGGAGGGATAAATCCTTTCTGGTTTCTTCAAAAAATGCTTCCAACTTCTCATCCTTCTCAGGTAACCAGCCAGGATTACTAATCCGGAAACGGCTGTCAGTACGTCCTGCTCCCTTAAAGAATTCATGTAGCTTTATAGACCTGAACAAATTGGAAAAATCGTTAAAGATTTCGGAAGGAGCAAACGGCGGCACATGCGGTAAGACAAACTTGAGCCCTAGCCCTAGCACACTTCGTTCAGCATGTGTCAAGCTGTGGGAGCTCAAGTTAAACACTCCGTGGTTGATGATCCGGGTTTTAGCTTGAGACTCGGTTAGTCTTCCAAACCAGCGGAGTGCCAATTCTTTGCTTGTTAGCTGCGCTGGCCCCTTGCGGGGCCTCCTCCGTTTTTTGGTTTATACCATCGCTTCTTCTTTTTCTTCTCCCCCTTGTCCTCTGCTGATGCAGATGCCTGGGGTTGCTGCTGCTGTTGCTGCTGTTGCTGCTGCTGCTGGGTCTGCTGCTTCTTCTGCTGCTGTCCCTGCTGCTGCTGCCGCTTCTGTTGCTGCTATTGTTGCTGCTGCTGCTGCTGCTGCTGCTGCTGCTTCCCCTTAGCCGATGACTGATTCTGCAACTCAAGTTTTTCAAGCCGTTTAAGCACCGCGGAAAGTTTGGAGTCAACAACATCCTTAGCAACTTCCCTCATGCTAGGCTCTGTCTCCATATTCTGGAGTTCTTCTTGAACTGCCTTCTTCACCATCTCTGCTTCATTTTTAAGGCGCTGATTCTCATGAAAGTCCATGAATGACTTGGTCTGCTGAATCTCAATTGCAGTAATAGCTTCTTGAATGAGCTTTCCTTTGAAGAATTCCATCACTTCAACAGCCTTGTTTCGCCTGGAATCCTCCTCCATGGCTTTAATGCCATTAATGGTTGGAAATTTGTCCATCCAAGAGAGAAACAGCACCGTTGGCTTCATTAAAAGCGATAGTCATTAACTCCTCCTTAGCTTCAATGAAATCTTTCTGCTGTTGTACAAGAGCCTCATTATGCAGAGAAGAGAACTTATCATCAGCGACCTTCTTAATAGCCTCATTGCTGGTCTGGAACTGAACGGCTTTGGTTTTGATGCTGTGCAGCAACTCCTTCCGGCCGTCAATTAACTTCATTTTAGAGACCTGTTGCTTGAGGCTCAAGTATGTAGCATAGGACTTGATAGCTTTCGAAATAGCTTCTTGTTGCCATTTTTTAAAAGGAGCAGGACATAGATCATTTCCAAAACAGAGTCCTTGATCTTGGGGCATAGGACATGAATCTTGTCTGTTTCCTTCTGGCGAAAAAGCCGCTTCAAGTGTATGTTGGGAGATGTTATCTCCCTCGATCACATTAACACCTGCAGCGTCTGCGTTAGTAGTCGTTGCAGGTGACGCGGAAGCTATTATTCTTGGCGTTTTAAATGCTTGACGTAGTAATGTCTTGGGATGAGCGGGTCGATATGGAATTGGAGTAAACTCAAGCTTTCCGTTTTCCAGCTGAAGGAAATTGTCAGATTCCTCTCGCTGACGCTTGGTAGCACGAAAGACGAAAAAGCGGGAGGCCTCGTGAAAAACCTCTGAGTCGGATGAATCATCGTCGGAAGATGTAGAGCCTCTGGCCACAACCGTATTATTTGGTTAAGGTGCTGTCAGTGTTAAACAGGTGGGCTGCGGAGGTCTTATGTCCATCAACTCAAATTGTATCTTAGAACGACGAAGCAAACTCCATGAAATGAAAAAATGAAAGAGCCTGGAAAGCTTGTGAGCTAGAGCGTATTAGAGAGCCAGAATGAACAAAATCGTCAACTTAAAATCAGAACTTGAGTAAACTAGTTTCGGTTCTTTCAAACCTTCATCAGTACAAACAAGCCTGAAGCTAAGCATCTGATATGAACAAGCTGACTAAAGTACTCTACGCTAAAGCTGAGCTAACCAGGCAGATGGATGCAATGGCGAGGCGGAAATGGCGTGAAATCTCGAGGTGAGCCAGAGACTCTGATCCAGTCCTTCAGAACCAAAAGGGGGTCTTCGGGAGGGTTGGTAACCAGGATCGAAAAGTCAGAAAAGTGGTAACATCACTTCGTCGCACGAAAATGTCAAACCGCGACAGGTTGGAGCCTCGATTGAATCAGTCTTCGACGTAAGCGACAAGGTAACTTCCACGCTAGCAGAAATCTACAGGAACCAGAAATAGAGAAGCCACGTGTAGAAAGTAGATTTTTGAGACGTCTAAAAAATCTACTTTCTACACGAGGGATAGGGGGAAAAAGGGGAGAGATGGTGGTGGAGGGAGGAGAGGGGATTCGCCTGACCTGTCTCCCCCTCGGAGGGGCACAAGGGGCTCACCGGACCTGTCCCCGCCTCGGAAGAGACAACCCCAATCTTCTGATCTCTCCGCCCCTCGCCGAGCCAGGCACGACACGCCGGACCTGTCTCCTCCTCGAAGGGGGAGAAAGGGCACCCCGGACCTGTCTCCCCCACGCCGAACCAGAAACGATTCACCAGATCTGTCTCCTCCCCGAGCCAGGCATGACTCCCCGGACCTGTCCCCTCCCTGCAAGAATAGGAAGGACCCGTCCCCAAACCTCTCCCTGCCCCGGCGCCAAACCAGACAGGGCTCACCGGACCTGTCCCCGCCTTGTCGCCAAATCAGACAAGCGTCCCCGGACCTGTCTCCACCCTGACGCCAAGCCAGGCAGGCCACTCCAGACCTCTCTCCCCCTCGTCGCCGAGCCAGACAAGACTCGCCAGACCTCTCCCCTCCTCGTCGCCGAGCCAGACAAGACTCTCCGGACTTGTCCCCGCCGCGAAAGGGATCGGGGAAACAGGCAGGGGGGGCAGGGCAGGGTGGGGGGGGCATGTGGAAGGGGGGAGGGGGGAAGGCAGAACGAATGATGGATGGGAGCCTGGCTGGGCTGAGGAGCGGAAAGGAGGTGATGGCGGAGGCAGAAGAGAAAAGAGCCAAGGACGAGGCCAGGTGAGAGGAAGGGGGATGGGGGCTATGGGGTTGAGAAAGAGGGGACTGTGGTAATGATAGGTATTTTCGGCAGGGCTGAGGAGCGGCAAGGAGGTGATGGCAGAGGCAGAAGAGAAAAGAGCCAAGGACGAGGCCAGGTGAGACTGTGGGAGAAATTGGGGGGGTTGAGGGAAGAGGGCACTGGGGGAAGGCGGGAATTTCTGGTGGGGCGGGAGAAGAGACTCAAGGATGAGGCAAGGTGAGGCTTGGGTATTGGGGAGGGGGGAAAGTGGAAGGGTGTGCGGGCGGGATATTGGGTGAAGGGTAGGTTTTTCCGGCAGGCAGGGGAGCGGGAGAGAGGTGATGAAGGAGGCAGAGGAGAAGAGAGCCAAGGACGAGGCCAGGTGAGACTTGGGTAGTGGGAGAGAGGAGAGGGGTTTTGGGGTAAGCATGTCTTGTTGGCGGTGCTGAGAGTGGGAGGGAGGTCATGGGAGAGGCGGAGTAGAGGAGAAGAGATTGAAGGAGAACCGAATGCAAGTCGAGGCGAGTTGAGGGGGAGGGAGACTGGGGGGAGGGCAGGGAATAAGTAGGGGGAGGAAGGGTGTTGTTTGAATGTGGGGGAGTGGAGCAGCATCACGGATGTGATGGCGCATGCAGGGGCGAGGCTCACGGAAGGGAGATTGGGGAGTTGGGAGTGGGGAGTGGGGAGCGGGGAGTGGGAGTGAGGAGTGGGAGTGGGGAGTGGGGAGGGTGGAGTGGGGAGTGGGGATTGGGTTGGGGAGTGGGAGTGGGGAGTGTGGGGTAGGTTCATCTGGCAAGGTGGGATATGTTCATTTGCCTTCCTCCCCTCTGCTGCCCTCTCGTCCCCTCTCCTCCCCTTGCCCTCTCAACCTCTTTGCCGCTCCGCTTCTCTCTCTTCTCCACCTCGCGGCCCCCCAGGTTCGCCCAGCTGGATCCGTCCGTCAGTGGCAGAGGGGCGCAGACAGTGTACCGTGACAAAGCAGGTGCGTGTGGGAGGGCAGTTAAGGGGGAGGTTGTGGCGGATTGGTATGGAAGGAATCCATGCAGTGGTGGTTCAGACAGTTATCCGCGACAAAGCAGGTGCGGCGTGGGAAGCAAGCAGAAGCAGGTGTTGCTTCAAGTGAAGTGTTGCTTCAAGTGAAGTGCTGCTTCAAGTGAAGTGTTGCGAATGCGAACATTTGCTGTGAATCAAATGTTGCCGCGCTTCCTTGACGACAGTAATGACAGATTCAGGCGGGTGATAGAGATGCTGCAGGGGATTCTCATCTGTGCTTGTGTGCTTGTGTGCATGTGTGCTTGTGTGCTTGTGTGCTTGTGTGCATGTGTGCTTGTGTGCATGTGTGCTTGTGTGCTTGTGTGCTTGTGTGCTTGTGTGCTTGTGTGCTTGCGTGCTTGTGTGCTTGTGTGCTTGTGTGCTTGTGTGCTTGCGTGCTTGTGTGCTTGCGTGCTTGTGTGCTTGCGTGCTTGTGTGCTTGCGTGCTTGTGTGCTTGTGTGCTTGTGTGCTTGTGTGCTTGTGTGCTTGTGTGCTTGTGTGCTTGTGTGCTTGTGTGCTTGTGTGCATGTGTGCTTGTGTGCTTGTGTGCTTGCGTGCTTGTGTGCTTGTGTGCTTGTGTGCATGTGTGCATGTGTGCTTGCATGCTTGTGTGTGTGAATGAGCGTGTGCGTGGCAGGCAAGCGAGTGAGCAATCTGGAGGCCATCATGGCGGAGGAGAAGGCCAAGAAGAGCCGCGTGAGTCAAGGGCAGGGGAGGGGGCAAGGGTGGGGGGAGGGGATGGGGGAGGGGCGGGGAGGGGTGAGGGGTGGTGGTATTGGTGAGGGGCGGGGGGAGAGGCGTGTGGCGGAGGAGAGTGAGGAAGAATGGGGAGGGAGGGAGTGCATTTGGGCATCTATGTTGCGCCTTGTCTTATTTGAGTGCGGGTTAGGAGAGTGGAGCGGGATGAATGAGCGGGCCGGGGGGGGCACATTTGTTGTTGCAAGGCGTCAGGGCCTTCTCAGAAGAGCAGGGCACTTTCAGAGAAGCGTGGTACTCCTTGTCGTGGGGGTTTGGTCAGAAGCCGTTCGTGCAAAACGCGGCGCGAGGCTCCCTTACACTTGCCTATCTCACTTCTGAGTCGCCTCATTCATTCTAGCTCTTCTCTCAGTATTCGCGCATGAAGCTGATGGCCCCGTGCTGGGACAGACAAGGGCTGGCTGATTGGTAGGTCTATGGATACGTGGCTAGCTGGCTTGAATGCCTGATTGGTTGCTCGACTATGCAATTGATAACCATAAACCCATGGCACTTGTACAGGGCCCACTTGGATCCATAACGTGTCCTGCTATTCGCCTCTCATCTGCTTCGTTCTTTCAGGTGCTGCCCCCTCCCGATTTGGCAGAAGAAGGAGGCGGAGAGACAGGAGACAGTACAGAACCCTCTGTATTTTTCTCTTTGATGTGCGTTTGTCTATTTGGGTGTATCATGCTCTTACAATCTGTTCTACACTTGCAGGTGCTGCCGCCACCCGAGTGGGGCAAGGGTCTGGTGCAGAAGAGGGAGGCGGAGAGGCAGCAGGCTGACCTGGATGCCGTGGCTGCACGCCCCTTCGCTGCCTACGAGTGAGCACACTGTGTACTCGTTATTGTGCTCACTAGTGTGTTGGTGAAACGGGAGAGGCAGCAGGCTGACTTGGATGCCGTCGCTGCTCGCTCTTTTGCCAACTATGAGTGAGTGTTATCGTGGACCGGCCTACCTCATGTGCTTCCCTAGTTCGTCAGAACAACCTACTTCGTTTCTGGCGCATCCTCCTCGTTGGTCCTCACTGCTCTCCCCGTCTGTTCTCCTTCCTATCCGTTGCAACGGGTGCGAGGCCATCGGCAAGTGCATCGCCTCATTTTCTCTTCCCTCCCAACTCCTGCCACTCTGTACTCTGTGTTCCCCCCATGTTCCCCATGTTCCCCATGTTCCCCGTGTCCCCTCGCCCCCCTGTCCTCGTGTTCCCGTGACTCCCTGCAAGAACGACGAGGAGCGTGATCGCATGCTCAAGAATGTCGTGCGCTTCGGCGACCCCATGGCACATCTCGTCAAGGTGCGTGTTGGGGTGAGGTAAGGTGGGGTGCAGTGGGGTGGGGTGGGGTTGGGTGGAGGTGTCATGGGGTCATGAGGTGCGGTGGGGTGATGAAGTGGAGTGGAGTGGGGTGAGGTGGGGGGTGTTTTGAGTCGACTCAAGAGTCACTTTGGCGACCTTGTGACGCATCTCGTCAAGGTGAGGTGGGCTGGGGAGCCAAGGCAGGTGCATCTGACCGCAGACCAACCGCTTACCCCTCCTCTGCATAACGTTCGGCGTGTCGCAGGTGTGTGCAGCAGACCCATCAAGAACTCAAGGATGAGTTTGTGATGAAGAGCCCGAGCCTTGGTGTCAAGCCTCAAGTGATTTCGAAGCTTGCCAAAAGGGTACACCTCAAGATATTGAAGATAGTTACATTACTTTGTGTAGTGTAACATTTCACTTGGTGTAGGCCCTAGTGAAGGGTAGTTTCGAGACCCTTCGTGGTTGGGGACAGTGTGGCACTGTTCCACATCACTGTACCTCGGCTCTTGGGGTTTGTAGGAGCTGGGAGTCATTCCCAACTCGTAACTCTTCCTATCTTGCGTTCTAAGACTATAGTGGCTGCCATAGTACCGTTCGTTCAAACTGACGCTGTGTCGTCAATTCTTTATCAAATCGTGCAATCTAAATTGCTAATTGTAGACGACGTGAAGACGCTCCAGATCCAATTTGAATCAAGTCATTTGCAGCTGTGAGCAGAACGCTATCAACGTTTGAAGCCGCTGTGCAGAAATCCGTCTGTGCTCTCTATCTTTCGTTTTAGGCACATTCAAGCCTATTGTGACTATAACAAGTGGTATCAGAGCCCCTTGGAGCAGTTTCGACAATGTCTGGACCTGAGGAAAGGGGTGGCAGAGGTGCTGGTGGCAGTGGAGAAGCTCAAGCTCAAGGCCAACCCCGTGATTCAGCCATGGCGCCCATGCAACCAAGTCTTGGCCCACCTAGGGATGAGCCTAGGGTGTTTGGGCTTGACAAGTTCAACGGTGACAACTTTGCTGAATGGTCCTTCAAGATGGAGAACATCTTTGACCACTATGACCTGCTGGAGGTGATGGAAGGAACGGAGAAGCGCCCCGAGAACGACCCGGAGAAGAGCCCGTGGGTGCGGAAGAGCGCACAAGGCTATCTCCTACTTGGGCAAGCGTTGGGGAGCAGCCAGATCCGTCACATCAAGCCATTCCAGCGTGAACCAGAGAAGGGACCAAAGGCATGGGCTGCTCTCAAGGGTGTACATGCTCCTGCAACAGCGGCGGTAGCGGTGGTGTTGGAACGGCAAATGGCGGCACTACGAATTGAAGAAGACGAAGCGGTTGAAGAAGGGGTGCAGAAATTCTTCGACTTGTTGACGCGGCTTGAGGGAGCTGATTTGAACTACAGTGAGCTCCAAAAGAAGACCAAGTTGCTGGCCTTACTCCCAGAGTCATGGTCCTCGCTCATCATCAACCTTAATCGCGACTTGCCCCGCCTCTCGCTTGAAGACGTGAAGCGAGCTATCCTTCAAGAGGATTTCCGCCGCCGTGAGTTGGCGAGTGCGGATGGCGCTGGGGCAGCGAGCATCGGCCGTGGATATGGTCGAGGAAGAGGCAGAGGACGAGGGGGAGGAAGGTTTGGTGGCAGCAACTTCGGCGGAGGCCGCAGGAGTGGCGGTTACGGCAGCGACGACAAGAGCTACGGACGCGGTCGCGGCCGATTCGACGGCGAGTGTCACTATTGCCACAAGAGCGGACACATGTGGCGCGACTGCTACAAACTCCCTGATGGTTGGACCCCTGCTCAAGGCCAAGAGGGTAGAGGAGCAGGAGGAGGGAGAGGACGAGGCCGTGGAGGCCGTGGCGGTCGCGGTGGCGGAGCTGCAAACATGAAGAGCGGAGACAACGACAAGGACCCGAGCGACGATCGATACCCGGGTCTATTCTACTTTGTGTCGACGCAAGTACCGGCTGGTCCAGAGAAGGATGAAGGCTTTGAGGAGCCAGCAGCTGTGGGGAAGGTGACCCTACACCCCCTGGACTATTGGGTGATTGATAGTGGCGCTACCTATAGCATGACACCTCGCCCGGACTTGCTCACCGAACTCGAGCCGTCACCGGTGAAGCATGTCACATCGGCTTTGGGGCAGCGAGCAGAGGTGAAAGGCATGGGCAAGGCCATGTTCAAGGGTGCTGATGGGAAGATGGTGGGCCTCAAGAACGTGCTTTGGGTGCCCAGCCTTGCTGCAAACCTGATTTCCGTGCGGCGGTTGGCAAAGGCCGGCATGGACACGAACTCGAAGGGAGCCAAGACCTACACCGCAAGGCTTGGCGATCGAATTCTTTGGGACCTTCATGAGGACAGGGATGTTTACAACGAGATGTGGCAGATCCCAGTGGTCCCTATGCCTAAGGAGAGGCAAGTGGCATCAGCACCAAGGATGGAGCGGTCGGTAGCGACGACGGCGCGAACGGTCGCGCTAAGGAGAATGAGCTCAAGAAGAGCAAACATGGAGGGACCAGCAAGTTCAGTGAACCTAAGGAGAGTGGTGCAGCAACCAAGGAGCAGCAAAAGGGTGAGGAGAACCCAGAGGCAGCAGCGGAGGAGGACTACGGAGAGAGTATGTGGGGCGCTATTGCGAGCGCGGCATTCTCCAATCCAACTTCGGCTACGGGGGAGTGTGATTGGCTCACCTTGCATCGGCGCATGGGGCATGTGGCCCTGCCCATCTTGCAGCAGCTAGTGAAGAATGAGATGGTTGCTGGCATATGTGTGAAGGGGGAGCCCGATGAGGTGCTTGGCTGCCCGACGTGCATTCAAGCCAAGTTCACCCGGTTTCCGTTCCCTAGTTCGGAGGCAACGGCAAAGGCACCGCTTGATGAGGTGGTGATGGACGTGGTGGGCCCCCCTGAAGCTTGGAGCTGCTGGAGCTGAGTATTTTCTCACCATTGTCGACGTCTACACCCGCATGACTTGGGTGTACGTGCTGGCCAAGAAGAGCGACGTGGCTGAAACGTTGAAGACGGATTGGTTCCCGATGGTGGAGCGGCAACAAGACCGTCTAGTCAAGTCAATCCGCACCGATCGAGGGGGAGAGTTCCTGAGCAAGGAGTTTGGGTTGTGGCTGAAGAAGAATGGTATTCGGCACTCCCTCACCATGCCATACTCCCCTGCAATGAACGGCATCGCCGAGCGAGCGAACCGCACAATCACGGAGGCGGCACGCGGGTTGCTCATTGAAGCCGGGCTACCCGACTATTTCTGGCCTGATGCGGTGCGGAGCGCGTGTGTGGCCAAGAACAGAGCCTTGAATCATGTGGGAGCAGACAAATGGGTGCCCTATGTGGAGTGGCTAGGAAGGAAACCAAAGGTGGATATGCTTCGGGTGTTCGGGTGCATGTGCATGGCGCTCGTGCCTAAGCATCTTCGGCACAACAAGCTTGGTGCCAAGGCGGTGTGGGCCGTGCACTTGGGCATGGCTCAAAACAGCAAGGGATGGCTTCTTTGGGACCCATTCACCAAGAAGTTCTTGGTGAGCAGGGACTGCAAGTTCATGGAGAACTTCATGTACAAGGATTGGAAGGCGGAGAATGAGGCGAAGATAGGCGTGCGGTTTGGGGAGGTGAAGAGTTCCGGTTTGGAGCATGTGGAGCTGCCTTTGGAGCTGAGCAGCGGCAGCACAACCACAAGGCAATCCTCCCTTGTGAATGGGGGAGAGGAGGCCAATGATGCAGAGGAAGAAGAGGAGGAGGTGCAGCAAGTGAGCGAGCGTGCACCGTCACTCCCTTCCCGTACTACGAGTGCTCCACGGATTCGAGCCACACCGCAGCAACGCCAAGGCCTTCAAGTCCCTGCAGCTGAGGAGGAAGGAAGGGGGAAGAGGAGAGTTCAACCCCCTAATAGGCTGACCTATGATGCGCCGGGAAAGCAGGGCAAGACAGCCCTGGCCGGAGCGGCAATGATGGTCGGAGACGACGAGGAGAGTGACTACGAGGAGTGTGCCTTCGCGTTCTTCTCTCCGGTGGAGATGCCGGGAGAACCAGCAACTCTCAAGGAGGCTTTGGAGAGTAGTGATGCTGAGGAGTGGAAGAAGGCCATGGAGAGTGAGCTGAAGAGCATTGAGGAGAATGACACGTTTGAATTGGTGGAGCTAACGGAGGGGCGTACGGCGATAACGTCCAAGTGGCTCTTCAAAATCAAGTCGGATGCCGACGGCAAGATCGAGCGCTACAAGTCTAGGCTTGTAGCCAAGGGGTACCAGCAGAAGGAGAAGGTGGACTTCAAGGAGCTGTTTGCCCCTGTGGTGAAGCCGACGACGCTGCGAACCCTATTCGCGGGAGCCGCCATCAAAGGATGGGTAGTAAAGCAAATGGACATCGTAACGGCATTCCTTAACGGCATCCTTGAGGAGGAGATTTTTATGGCGCAGCCAGAGGGGTTTGATGATGGTAGTGGCAGAGTGTGGAAGCTGAAGAAGGCCCTCTATGGGCTGAAGCAGGCCCCTAGGCAATGGTACATGAAGCTGCGCGAAGTGTTGGAGGGGATCGGCTTCACTCCCTCAACGGCCGATCACTCCTTGTTCATGCTTGGCGAGGGGGAGCAGAGGAGTTTCATGGTGGTTTATGTGGATGGCATCCTCATTTTCTCACCCTCTTCTGACCTTGTGAAGGAGGTGATGCTGAAGCTTCAAGACAAGTTCAAGTGCAAGGCCCTTGGTGACGTGAGCTTCTACCTTGGGCTCCACATCGAACGAGATGTGGAGAAGCGGTGCATGCGGGTGCATCAACGAAAGTACCTGGAGGCATTGGCTGCCAACTTTGGGCAGAGTGAAGGCCATGTGGCTACACCCTTTCCCTCTGGGTTCAAGTGTGTGAAGGGACCAGAGGAGGAGAGCGTTGGTGAAGAGGAGAGGCGCCGATTTCACTCGTTGGTGGGCAGCCTCATGTATGCGGCGGTAAACACCCGACCGGACGTCGCGTTTGCTACCGGGCAGCTGGCTAGGGTTGTGCAATGCCCTAATGAGGAGCAGG